CCGGGGCCCCCGGGGCCCCCCTGGGGGTCCCGGGGGGCCCCGAAGGGCCCCTCCGACTTAGCCCGGCCATTCATTTTGGAGCAGATGGGGGCCCACAGGGCGCTGGGGGGCCCTCAGGTATTGCAGGAGGCTCTTGGGGGCCCCCAGGAGGGTCAAGAGGCCCAAAAATGGGATTTGGGGCCCCTAAAAGAGGTTTGGGGCCCCGAATCGGGGCTTGGGGGCCCCTAGGCGGCGCTGGGGGGCCCTGGGGGTCGGGGGGCCCCTAGGGGGCCTCTGGGGGCTGCAGGCGCAGCAGCAGACCCAAATGGGGGCCCCCTGGAAGTAAAAAAGGAAAAAAGAGAAATTATATTCGAAATTTCATCTTTTTGAATTCTTTTTTCTGCATTTTAAACCCTAATTTATGCACAGAGGGGCCCCAGGACCAGGGAGGCCCCTCGGCTGCCATGGGGGCCCCAGGGACCCTCTGCTAAGCCCCAAACCTTAAACCCTAAAACCTAAACTCTAAAAACTAAGCCCTAAACCCTAAACTCTAAACTCTAAACCCTAAACCCTAAGCCCTAAGCCCTAAGCTTCGGCCGAAAAACTCTACAGTCCTAACCCGTCGATCCAAAACCCTAGATCCAAGACCTCAATTCCAAATCCCTGGGCCTTAAACCCTAAACCCTAGACCCCAAACCCTAAACCCTAAACCCTAAACCCTAAACCCTAAACCCTAAACCCTCAGTTTAAACCCTCAAACCCTAACAAAAGAAGACTCTGCATCCCTTTTGTAATAAGCAAATTTGGTGCCCCCCAAAATGGCTGCCGCCCGAAGGGGCCCCCAGCCTGAGGCCTTGAAGGGCGGGTCTAAGAAGCAGCGGATCCTAGCAGCAGCAGCAGCAGCAGCAGCAGCAGCAGCAGATAAAGCAGCTGCTGCAGCAGAAGCAGCAGCTCAGAAAAAAAGGGGCGGCGAGGCCCCACAGGACGCCCAAAGCCCCCGGGCAGCAACAGAGCAGCAGCGCAAGAAGCGCAAAGTGAAGCAGCAGCAGCAGCGGGAGCAGCAACAGGAGCAGCAGCAACAGGAGCAGCAGCAGGAGCAGCAGCAGTCAGAAGGCGGTGAAGGCGACCCAGGAGAGTCCTTGGAGACGCACAGCAAACAGACCCGCAAAAAGCAGCAGCAGCAGCAGCAACAGCAGCAGCAGCAGCAGCAGCAGCGGCTGCCTGACTGGACTAGCCGGTACATCCTGGTGCCCAGCGAAGGCACAGGAGACGCAGCAGCTTCTGCTGCTGTGCTGCAGTCTCTACATCCTGCTGCTGCTGCTGCTTTTAGGAGGCGAATTGGAAACACCTTCTTCCCCAGTAAACCCTTAACCCTAAACCCTAAACCCTAGGACCCAGAGAGCGTCTGCTGCTGAATAGCTCTCTGTGTTTCCTGGAAGGGCGTTTAATGCAGCAGCAGCGGCAGCAGCAGCAGCAGCGGCGGCAGCGGCAGCAGCAGCAGCAGCACTAGCATAGCAGCAGCAGAGGCGGCAGTAGCAGCAGCAGCAGCAGCTGCAGCAGCTAGAATTGGAATCTGGGGTCCTTTAAAAGAATGCTTCCAGTCCCTCTTCACTGCAGCGGGAGTAGCGTTTGCTGCTGCTGCCGCTGCTGCAGCTGCTACATCTGCTGCTGCCGCTGCTGCAGCTGCTACATCTGCTGCTGCTGCACCTGCAGCTGCCACATCTGCTGCTGCTGCTGCTGCTGCTGCTGCTGCAGTTCAACTGGCGGTGATCCCCCATTTGCTGCGTCTCCTCGAGCTTCCTTTTGGCTCCTTGGAGGCCAGCGACGTCTGCGTGCATGCAGCCACCGGTAAACCCTAAACCCTAAACCCTAAACCCTAAACCCTAGTTTCAAAGCCGCAAACCCCCAAGTTCCGGCTCAAGAGTGTTTGGTTTCTCTCCGTGGCTCTTCTCGACCTGCTGCGGTCGTCTTTGGGGACCTTAATGCCACAAACTCGAGGGTTTAGGGTTTAGGGTTTAGGTTTTAGGGTTTGGGGTTTGGTGTGTCCGTAGGGGAGGGCAAGACTCTTTGCTATGCGCTGCCTCTCGTCAGTCACCTCTGGAATGCCGTGGGTAGGACAAGGCTTTCGGACAGTTTAGGGTTTAGGGTTTAGGGTTTAGGGTTTGCCAACTTACACGGGGACTGAGCGTTGTTTTGTGACTTAAAATGCTTGTCTCTGCTCAAGCTCGAGGGTTTAGGGTTTAGGGTTTATTGCACATGTTGTTTATATCGCGTTTCGCTTCTGCGGGCGCTGGCGTTCCTCACCGAGGGTTTAGGGTTTAGGGTTTAGGGTTTAGGGTTTAGGGTTTAGGGTTTGCGGTGTTCAGTGCCCCGGCTGCGCTGCGTCGTGCTGACCCCCACGCGCGAGTTGGCGCTGCAGGTGTGGGGAGTCTTTTTGCTGCTGCTCGAGGGATCGATCGATCCCCCTCGGGATCGGGGATCGATCGATCCCAGCGAGGATCGGGGATCGATCGATCCCAGCCGGGATCGGGGATCGATCGATCCCAGGCGGCTTCGCGTGGCTTGCCTTGCGGGGGAGACGAGCACTGCGAAGCGACACAAGGTTGCTGCTGCTGCTGCTGCTACAGCAGCAGCAGC